CAGATACTGTGTGGGGTTGAGATAGGTCTTCTCCAGCTTCACTAGCCATCCCATACGAGCAGCCTCCTGTAGGAGGAAATGTGTATGAGAGAGGCTTGTTGAGACAGAGCTAAAAGTAGCCAGTCATCCATGTAGTGATGGAACCGCAAACCTTAGTCATGAAGATGGCAGGCAAAGGCTCTGACTACATGACAGAAAACATAAGGCACTGATGCCAGATGAAAAGGTAGAGCATAAAATTGGAAAACTTGACCTCCATGAACAAACTGAAGGCAATGTCTGGAGGCTGGAGAAATAGGGATATGAAGGTATGCAACTGAGATGTTGACCTTCATCATACAGAGACCTGGAGTGAATGCCCACTGAAGTGTAAGGAAAGACTCCATGGTGAACTGAGGAAGGTCAATGACAGGATGCAAATTCCCAGTCTTTTTGGGAACCATAAACAGCCACAAATAGAACTCCAGAGAAGGGTGATGTACTTGTTCAATAGTGTCTATGTGTAAAAGATCACAAGCCACTTCTGACAGATGTTGAAAAGAAATGGGATCCTGTGGAGAAGGGAGGGAAATGAGATGAGTGGATAACAGGGGGGGGGGGAGAAAATCCTTCTGACAGAACTTGAAGAACCCAGGGATCTGTGACAAGTGAAGCCCACAGATGAACAAACCTGGCCAACTGTGCACAAACCATGCCAGAACGTATGGTATAATCACTGACACAACTGCCATCAGAAAACATGATGATAAGCAATTTGGTAGCTTGTCACTGAAACCTGGGAAGAAGGCAATGTTAGGGGGAAGGAAGCAGGGGACTGAAACATGGAAATTGAAGCAGAAGAGGGTTGGGAAAGAAGGAAAACTAAGGAGGTAAGAGAAGAATGTTGACATGTGACCTCCACCCTAGATTCTAACGTATCAGGAAGATCTCCAAATACAGACTGGTTCAAAAAGGGAGCAAAATGGAGGTCTCTTAAATAGGAAGCAGGGAGACGCATGTGTGACAAGAAGACATCCCTGCCAAGAAGATCCCAATAACAATAGAGCCATTTATGAAGGAATAAGGATGAAGAAGATAAGCACACCAACATGGAAAAGATAAGGGTACAGGTATTCACTGAAAACCCCTTGGGGGAACAGTGGAGAGGTTCAGAAAGGAGTTGAATGGAAGAAATGTAGTGCAGGACAGTGGCAAAGTAAGCCAAAGATGTGAAAACTGGGCTGAGAAAATCTTAACATAGTCTCCCAATCAGATCCCCATGCTTGAAACAAAGACTCCAAGGTCTGAGAGTCCAAATACGGAAAATCTAGCCTGTGATAAGCTAAAACATAAGAGTCAGATAAATGTAGGAGATGAGGCATGATGGAACCCAAACTTAATCGGGTTAAAAAATTGATAAGCATAGATTCAAATATGAGGAGAGGTGGGGAGAACACTAAATAATCCAACAAAGATGTAAAATGAAGGAGGGGGGATCAAACCACATATGGAAAATTGACAAAAGGTAACATATCTGGTAAATCATTTCCAAAAAGCTGGATAAGGTAAATCCAGAGGGATAGCATGGGATTGCACTGTCCAAATATTTATCATTCTGACATGATTCACCTGGGTATAGGATATCTGGCCTAATTTCTGGAGACATAGCAGGCCACATGAGAGTTTCCAATTCCCAATGTACCATGGCAGAGGCCTCAGCAGAAAGTGTGGACCCCAAAGCCACAGATGTAGTAGGTGGTTCAGAAGTGGCCTAATGTACGACTCAAAATGAAAATTAGAGTTCATGATGTGAAAATTAAAAAGAAAATATTCCACAAAAAACTGGGTAAGCAGAAATAAAATGACAGCAAATTAAATGGTCAAAACACAATAAAGTTAACTGAAAATTGCACGGGAAAATGAAAAATGCAGAGCAAATTTTGGGTATGGCTGCACATTGGAATGCCAAATTGAGAAGTGATGAAAGTACTCAATAGCAGTGTTTCTCAAAGCCGGTCCCCGGAGTACAAATTGCCGGTCCGCAACGTCTCTAAGTTTAC